CCTGCTTTAGAAAGCAGTTTCCACACACTGTCCCGCTAGGCCTTCAGAACACTGCGTGCTGTGGGTGGCGGAGGGGACAGGTGCGATGTGTTCCATTTAGCAGATGGGAGAACTAAGGCACAGATCCTAGGTAAATGGCCCAAAGTCATCCAAAAGAGAATGAGGATTAAAACTCAGACTTCCTGCCTCTGAACCCAGCACCCCACTCCATATTTCTGCAGCAACAAGTGCCTGGGAGCCTCACCTTTCTCATAGGTGGCCCCCCACCCGGAAATCCAGCAGGGCTGCTCCGGCTCCAGCATCAAGCCCGGGTTGGGAAGACACACTGGCTTCACTTTGTCTGTTTTAAGATGAAAAAAAAACAAAAAACAAAACCATGAGCCCATTTGGCCTAACTGCTAAACACCCAGCAAGGCACACAGGACAGCCCTCACCACAGAGCCACCTGCCCCCGACCTGTGCGCAGTGCTGCAGTTGGAACAGTGACGCAGACCTGGGCAGGGATCATGAATCAAGCTCTATGCCGCAGAGAACAGCACAGTGTCACTGCTTCCCTCGACACACCCAGGCATGTATGCTCTGGCATGCCCTCTTGTCACCCCGCCACCCTGTTGCCCTTCCACTGGTCAAACACAGGTCTTATTACAACCCACACCTCCTGAAGCTTTAGCCACACTCGTCACCCTACACCGTACACACCATTAAAGGTCAGAGGCGTCTGCAACTTCATAAGAGCAATGTCATTGTTCTTGTTGTTGGAATCATAATTTGAGTGAGAAATGACTTTTTCTATTCGATATCCACTTCCATAGAACATAAAAGATTGCCTCAAAATTCCCACGAAGGCTGTCCAATACCGTGGGTTATTAAGAGGTCTGGAAGATAAAGATGAACCCACTCAGTACCTCAGAACTAAAAACGTGAAACACTCATTTGATGGTCTTCAAAATCATGAAGCTGGAGCCAAGATTCCAGGAGCTGAGATGACCTGCCAGATCCCTCAGGGCAAGACTGTTGAGGGTCGGGGGCTGCTCTTACCCACTCACACTCCCTCTTGGCCGCCCATGCTCCACCTCTCGCAGAAGCCTGTCCCTCTGTGTTCTGCTGCACCAGCACCAACCTGACATCCCTCCCCAAGGTAGCCAGCGCCATCTCCCAGAGGGCTGAGCCTTACTTACCTTCCTGCACCAGACAAGGGGCTTAGTACATGTGTGCCAAGGAGGACACATGCCTCCTCTAGGGACATATTTGGGGTGGTAAGAGAACCCCGGCTTACAGAGGGCCCTCAAAGGCTGATGGGGTAGAGGAAGTGAGGGAGGGGACCCACTTGGGTGATGACTGCTGCTCCCTCCCACCCACGCAACAGCCCCAGGGAATCAGGACACAACACACCCATCTAACAGTGTAGACACAAGGGCCCAGAGATGTAGAGTGAACTGTCCAAGGCCACACAGCCAGAGAATGGTAGCCAGGAGTTGAGCCTGGCTCAGTCTTCCTTGAAGATAGAAAAAATATGTCTGCCAAATGAGGCTTCCTCCAAAACAGGTGTGTGGCCAAGAAAACTAAGTGTCTAAGAAAAAAGTGGTAGACAGACAATATTTTTCTCAGAAAGTAAGACAATAAATTATGGCTACCTCACTCCTCCCTACCCCCCTGTGTGCGATGGTGTGGCCCAGGACGTTTAATTTGGGCCCCTAGAGAGCCTTCCAGCTGGGCAGTGTGAGGTTGCTGAGCGTGTCTGAGTGTGCCCTCCAGGGACAAGCATCCGGGCAAGGTGAGACCACAAGAAAGGCAGGAGCTTCTGAGAAGGGTGGGACCGGGCTGAGAACACAGCAGGTTTGAAGGACTTCCGTCCCAAAGGCATCATGGAATGTTTCCCCATCCCAGGGTCCTCCCAGCACCCAGGACACGGCATTCTCGGTGCCATTTGCTGACAGGACAGACGTAGCCATGCACTTCCTGTATGAGCTCATCTGGCCCTCCCAGCACTGCCATGGCACAGGCTACTGCTCTCCCCACTATGCCCAGGACCCTGGGGCTTCCAAACACTTTGCTCAGGGTCACCCGCTCAATGTCAAGCTTGCACCCAGGAACTCCCTGCTGAAGGGTCTCCCGTGACAGGACATACTCTTCTACGCAGTGGGCGGCTGTCACAATCCAGTCAGGGGCGATGATGGAGCCTCCGCAGATGTGGATGCCCTGGACATGCAGGCTCACCTGCCAGGGCCAGTCCCCCAGCGCTGCACTTGATCCACCCACAATCCTGCTCTGGCGTCCGAACTTTGAGCTGACCCCGCACCCTGTAGGCAACAAGCACAGAGCCAGCTAACAGCGAGGAGCCAGGGGCCACCTGTGCATGGCAGGCTGCAGCTGGCCTCCAAGGGTCCCACCAGGCTCCCTCCCATTTGGGGTCTGACTTCTGGAACATATTCAGGTCTCTTCTCGGTTGGGGGAGGAAACCTGGTGGGAGGCATAGTTGCCCTACAAGGACTGGGAGAATCAGCCTCAGAGACTGGGGGAAGCTTTCTAATGGGCTTTCTAATGGACAAGGAGAAAGGGAGGTGGGGAAGGGGACTACAGTCCTTGGAGTTTTTCTGGTCCAGGCCCCAGGCTCCAAACCCACTGACTGAGGCCTTCCACCTGCACTCACAGTCAGGGGCTCCCATGAGTGCACACAGGGTGTGTCCACACTGTCACCCCCTCACCTCTCTGTGTGCAGTTCCACCTCCCCTGTGAGGTGGCTGCAGGGACCGAGGGCTGGGCATGCTGGATACCACTCATCACCTAAGGAAGACCTAAGCCTGGCCAGGCTCTGAGGGTACTGCCAGGACTGCTGCAACAGTATTGCCAATAGGCATGAAGAGCTGAGCTACAGGACCAAGACCCCCATCCAGTGGGAGCAGGACTGGACTATCCAAAGAAAGAAGTGGGGGAAAGTCCCTCACGCAATCCTAAGTGATTTGGGAACATAACCCAAGACAGAAATGAGAGTGCACATAAGGGGATGCTGATCCCTAGGCTAGGCCTGAGACCCAGGGCAGGTATGCACCAGAAGGCTGCATTGCAGAGCTGGGCTGTGGCCTGCCTGGGGCACTGCTGCAAATGCTTCCTGTCCATGTACAGCAGCTCCTAGGGCTCACTAGTGTCACCCCATTTCTGGGAGAAGAGAGCCCCTAAGGCCTCCTCCTCTGGGTTGACCCAAAGAATAGGGCTTTGTGAAATTCTTAAGACGGTCTGTCCTCAATAGGATGCTTCTTGGATCCACGGATGAAAGCAGCCAAAGTCTATCAAAATTCAGAGAAAGAGCTCCAGGGACAGAGCAAGAGGCTTTAAGCACATGCCAGACTGTCACCCTATACCCTTCTCTACATCCCTTAAAGACACAGGGGAACCCCTTCTTAAGGTATAGATGTTATCTAGCTAGATATATAAAAAAGGACAAATCAAGAAGTACTTACCTATACAGCGCAAAGAAACCACTGTTTTTGAAGAGCAGGTATAACTAAAAAAAAGGGAAGGGAAATTATGTCACCCAACCAAATAAGGAAATGCTTGACTCTCAAGTTCTTAGAAGTGAATATTTTTCCCCAGTGTTCTCTTTCCTGTTTCTCCAGACATAGAACTGTTCAGTTCCTAAAACTCAAATAAGATATCTACACAGGGGCAGTGATAAAGAGCAGATGACAAGTCAAAGTTCCATGCCCAGATCCCAGCTGTGTGACCACAGGCAAGTTATTGAACCTCTTTGTAAAAGTGGCAAAATGGGATACTAACAGTACCAACTCAGAGGGCAATGTGAGGCTCTGCATATGATAATGTTAGTTTTTATTTTCATTCTTAGAATTCTTTAATTTTATAAGGAAGCCATGTGAACACTTCAGGGCTCATTGACTGCTTTACATTTGTAACATGGGAAACAATATTAAAAAATCTGCCCCTGAGGTCCACAGCTGGCCTGGCACTAACAGTTGGGCCATGAGTCCTTTTGAACAGAGAGCTTTGCCAACAATCAATATCACATTAGGCTGCGCCATGACAGACAGAAGGGAACCTGTCCCAATTGCAAGCCACAGCCTAACGACTCCAGGCAAGTACATGACCAAAATCCCAACAGGGTGGAAAAATGGAGAAGGGATTGCAGTGTGACCATGTCTCATCAGGGAGTGCTTCCTCCCTTCTTCGGTATCTCTGGAGAGCGCTCGTACTCTCTAGTGATTTAAAAAGAGAGAGAGAAGACACATTTTCTAAGAACCGTGAGGACACAGACATGGCACTGGGCAGCCATCAGCACTGGGAGCACAGCAGTTACTCAGGGGAGCTGAATGGAGCCTGGAGACTCGCTTATCAAAGGGCAACTTCTGAAAGGAAAGATGAAAGAAGTGTCCCCACCCCACTGTGTAGACAGAATAGACACCAGACAATGACCTTCTCTTCCTCCCTCTGGCTGCCTCGTGACTTCCCAAGGCTCTTGCCAAGGCTGGCAGCCCTCTCGGCCCCTCCTCCACTCTGCTCACCTGTCTTGGCTCCCTGAGGCCACATGTCACCCAGAAAGACATAGAACCGCTCAGCATTTTCAGAGGTCTGGGCAGCTGTGTTTAGCTTCTCAGAGGGCAACTGCAGCCTGCATTAATGATGGGTAAACCTGGCAAGCCTAATCCGCCCACTGAGCTTGCCCTGTCACCTTCCCAACAGAAGCCAGGCCCCCTGACACCTCAGTCAGCAGCCACCAGGAATGCAGGCCTGCTCTAGCCTTCTACTCTGAGGAAAGGTGGGGCACCTGGCCTCCAGCCACAGGGAGGTGATGGCTGGCCACCTGGGGATGAGCCACACAGACCTGGGAGGTGAGTTAGGCTTACAGGTGAAGGAGGACTCGATGTACCTGCCGCTCACATCAAAACACATTCAGATAATAGTGACGTCCCTACAGACATTTTAAATATATGCAAACCAACTGAGTCGCTAAGCCCTGCCCTGTCCTCATCCTGCTAACCAGTTGAGCCATCAATCATGTGGCTGCTGACCTAAGGTCATTTCTACCCACTAGTCACACTGTGACCTGCCCAGGGCTAAAAGTCAGCTTTGAGGTGGAGGGAATGTGTGGTGAATTGAACTAGGAATCTGCTCCCCAAGTCCTCAGCCCAGTGCCACCCCTTACATGGCATCCTCTGACACTGCTGTCCATGGGCCACACCAAGTCCTCAGCCCAGTGCCACCCCTTACATAGCATGCTCTGAACTGCTGTCCATGGGCCACGGCTAAAGGACCAACCATCCCCATTGCCTGAGATGGGAAGCAGGTCCTCAGTAATGAAACTGGCTGAGTCCTTGGCAAACCAGAGTGACTTAGTCATCTCAGTTGAGATCCCAAGGTACGCTCTACTGCCATACCCTGACATAGTTGGTACATCCCTTAATGTCTGGAGAGGGAAGAAAAATCAAGCTGTCTCTTGATTTTGCAATGTTACTCAGTACCATTGAGGGCAATGCTATTTCAACCATTGCAAACAAAATGGCAAGTCATCCTTGGCCACTTCATATGAATCAACCCAGGGCCGTCTTGCCAGCAGTCCTGATCAGATCCTAATCTCCTCTAAGGTGAGACTGAGCAACACCCAGACCTGCAGCTTAGGGAAATCAAACTCAGCACAATGATTCCCCACAGTGCCTCCTAGGCGTTCTCATTGCAAATGTTTCAGAAGTAAAGGAATCAGCAGATACCTGTGGTACAGTCTTTTATAGAGATCGACGTTGCCAGCACTTACATTCAGCTTCATAAAGCTTGTAGCCTCACTGTCAGCAGCTATTCCTTGGCTAGAATAAAAACTATTCCTAAAAAAGATGGAAAACCTCATTTAAAATAATGACTCAATTGTAAACAATCACCCCTCCCCTATGATGTTCAGAAGAGGGAAAACCTTAGTATTTTGGAAAACCAAGTCACAAGTTCTAACTAAGTGAAAATTGTGCTATAACCATTTTCTATCCAAAGACCCTAAAGAGTAGGGTGAAAGCCCACCATTTGTCCTGTTTATAGTCTAGTTTGGGTTGAGATAAAGAAAGGCTGGGATTACAGATATATGAATACATAGCATGTAATTAAATATGCAGATGTTAAAATGGCCCCAGCTATAAAATTTCACACGTTTTCTGACCTGGGATGAGGGCTTCACCGCATAATCCAACTATGCAGTGCGGGGAGGGCATTCTGAAGCATTAGTTGATAAGATGCCAACTTTCAGAGCCAGCAGGTGGCATATTGGTTAGGACTCATATGGCCAACTATGGTTTGGGTCCCAGACCCAGTGGTTTGAAACTCAAGTCAGGCGCATGTGTGGGTGTGCCTGAAATCCCAAGAGGAGAATGGAAGAGAAGGAACTGCAGCGTAGCCATCCCCCCAGGGAGTGATTTCTCACTTTCTCTCTATCACTCTCTGGCTCTTTGGTGAGCACACATGCCCTATAGCAAAAACCTATAAAAAACATAAAAAAAAAAAAAAGATGCCAACTTTCTTACCAAGTGGCACCTCATTTTGAAAACTGGCATATAGAACACCTTAAAATAGCACAAAAATCACAGGGAACATCCCTCAGGGAACAGGAAGTGACAGTGGAATGATGTAATGCTCACCCCAGTACCCGAAGGTATCAAGTCTTTCTGAGTGATTCTGGTAAACCCCTGGCCTGGAACTGCTGTGGGGACAGCCTCTCCTAACCTGCCCATCTTCCCTAGTAGCAAGAATGATTTTTTTTTTTAAGGATAAATCTGATGAGAAATTCTCTCTCCCACTCAAAAACCTTCAGTGACTCCAGAATGCAGGGACAATTGCACAGGATTTACCTCTGATGATCCCTCCACCCAGCCACCTGGCCTGCCACCCCCAAAACCCAGGGAGGCGACTGGAACAAAGGGTCAGCCCTGGCTGAGAGTATCCTAGGAGAGGAGCCACCCAATGCCCTGCACCTCGTCCTGGTGACCATGGTTCTGGTGTTCCCAAGTATCCAGGGGGCTAGAGAGGCTGAGGAGAATGCAGGCCAGGGTAGCAGTAAGTCACACCCATGTGACATGGAGGAGAGAGCAGAGGTTGATGGACTGGGCACAATTCCAGCAGGACACGTTCAGCTTTGGGAGGGAGACAGCTATGCCTAGCCCTAGTGTGACGGTGCCTCCTCAGGGGCAAGGCCAGCTGGTCTTCCCCATGTTTCTACTGTTTAGCACCATCACAGGGACAGTGTCACCTACTCACACACATGCCACAGACATCCACTTACTTATAGCCCATGTCCTCGCATGCAGCTCTCCCAAAGCTCTCGCTCCAGTCGTCCTGGCACACGGGGTACCAGGACTTCCTCTGTGGTGAGTAGACCTGAAGAATGAAGTTTGGCCCGTAGAGGCGAACTGCACAGAAGGGAGAGTCTCTGTGAGTCTCACACAGTTGTCTCAACTTTTGTTGTCCAAACAGTGACCACAGGGACACCACAGTGCTCCCCCAGGGACACCAAGACCCTAACCACATACAGAGAGACCATCAATCTAGGTACTCCTTATGCTAAAGCACTGCAGCACAGTGGTTAAGCCTCGCGCAGAGGAGCCGGATCCCACAAGACTGACTGCAGTTTGAGTTGCAGACCTGGTGACTTGAAAGACACACTTGGTGCATGTGCACGTGTGCCCCAAATCCTGACAGATAGAAAAACAGAAGGGATTGGAGCATGGCTATGTCCCGCTGGGGAATGCTTTCTCTCTCTCTGGCAAATGCAAATGCCCTCTGACAACTAAATATATATAGATATAGATAGAGATATAGATCTATCTCTCTCTCTCTCTCTCTATATATATATATACACACACAGACAAAGAAACTTGCATAAATGTTCATTGTAGCACCCTTTACAATAGAGAAAAGTAAAGGTAACCCTAGATCTATCTCTCTCTCTCTCTATATATATATATATACACACACAGACAAAGAAACTTGCATAAATGTTCATTGTAGCACCCTTTACAATAGAGAAAAGTAAAGGTAACCCAAATAGCCACCAACAGATAAACAAAACATGATATATCTAAAATATGTAATATATAATATATACTGGGACCAGTAGATGGCATAATGGTTATGTCACTGACTCCCATGTAGTTGACAATGGTTTGAATCCCAGACCTGGTGGCTTAAACTCCTGCTAGGTACGTGTGTGTGTGTGTGTGTGTACCTAAAATCTGAAGAGGAGAATGAAGGAGTAGGGATTGTGGCATGGCCACACACCCTGGAGGGTGATTTCTCACTTTTTATTTCTCTGTGTCTCCAGCAAGAACACACATCCTATAGTAAAAATTTCTCTTAAAAAAAAAAAAAAAGACCCCAATGGGGTCTGGACTTAAACTGTGCAGCTGGCCATGTGGGATCCAGCACCTTAACCATCATGCCACCAGCTGGTCCTCTGCATGGTATCTTAACCACAGTCTACCCACTGCAAAATCAGCCTAGTTTATTTCAGGAGATACTGACAAACATATTATTGCCAAAGTAAAGCCAAAGAACTATGTTAAAACATGCATGAGTTGTTTCTAAGGGCAAACACTGTCCTGGGAAGCACGCATACCCAATCATTCATGTTACAGTCACATTACCACCGTTGAAATCACCTTAGAGATTAGTAGGAAATAGAAACAGAACACTAAAACTACCATGAGATGTCACCTCACAGCTGTTAGAATGGCTCTTCAAAAAGATGAAAGCTCAGTGTTGATGAGGACATGGACATCGTGGTGGGCATGTAAATTAGTACCGCCATTGTAGGAGACAGTACAGAGGTTCCTCAAAAACTTAAAAATAGGACTACGTGACCCAACGATTTTCCTTCCAGATCCAAGCCCAGAGGATATGGAATCAGAGTGTTGAGGAGACATCTGTACTGTCACGTTCATTGAAGCAATATTCGCAACAGCCAAGAGATGGAAACAACCTAAATGTCCATTGACTGGTGAATGGATGAATAAAATGTGGCGTACGCACACAAAGGAATAGAGAAGGAAACCCTGCCATTCGCAACAACGTAGATGAACCTAGAGGATGTTATGTTAAGTGAAATAAGCCAAATACGGCATCACATCATCCTGTGTGGAATCTAAAAAGCCAGTCTCCGGGCTGGCAGGTGGCATGGTGATTAAAGGCGCTGGACTCCCACATGGACAACTGCAGTTCAAGTCTCAGACCTGATGGCTTACTTTCTCACTTTCCTTCTCTCTGTGTCTCTCTCTGGTCAGATTGGGAAAAAATAATAATAATAATAAACAAAGGTAAATAAAATAGTTCTTAATAAAAAGCCAATCTCACAGAAGCAGAGGGTAGAATGGTAGTTAACCGAGGGTGAGCAGATGGGGAGATGTTAGACAAAGGATACAAAATTTCAGAAGAAATAAGTACAAAAGATCTATTGTACATCATGGTACTACATTAATAATATATCGTGTATTTGAAAATTGCTAAGAGAGCTTTTAAGTGTGCTTGCCACACACACACACACACACACACACACAAGATAGGTGAGGTAATACCTATGTTAATACCTTGATTTGGCCATTGCACAATAGCTAAAATATAATGAAACAACATGTTTTACACCATAACGATATACAATATTTACTCATCAATCAGAATAAATAAATAAGCAATAGAAAGTAATATAGGCAAAAAGAAGTGTCTACCCCGTGACCATGAATTTAACTTTAAAGGCAGTCTGTTTCGAAAAATAACTTGGTATGCCTACAACTTTCTATTTTAAACAGTTTGCTCATTTCCATCAAAGTCCTGTGGTCGCTGGGAGCACAGGCACCCGAGTGACACATCCCTGCTGGCCCTGTCACCTCCATCCCACCAGCTGTGTGACGCTGGGCCAGGAACATGGTGGTAAGGTGACAGAGGTACCGCGTACTGGATGTGCCTGGCTGGCTGCTCACCTGTGCTGCCACTTTCTCTAGAGTGCCTGCCAGGAGCCCAGCACCCCAGGAGGGAGGGAATAAGGCAACTTCCTGAGGCTAGGAGACTCACCACAGCGGTTCTCGTCCTCCCCATTGGGACAGTCTGCTACCCCATCACACCAGTGTGAGGCGCCGACGCAGGTTCCCGAGGAGCTGCATTCGATCCCAACACACTTCTTCTCCACTGGCAGAGAGGGAGGTGCCCATCAGCCTGAGAAGCCAAGGAAGCCTCCTGGAGTCCAGGAGTCTCCTTGCCCACTTTCTGAGCCCCCAACAAGAAGGAATAACCCCTCTCCTGTCTTTGAATAAGGAGATGTGTCCCTGGTATGGATGTATAGTAACAGAATCAGGACTGGGGCATGGTTAGGTTTGAGCACACTCTCACCTCCACCCTGCCACATCGGTGAGCTCAGGGGCCCACGAACTGCCATGAGTCTGCACTGCCTCAGCCGATGGAAAAGGTGTGGGCTGTGGTGACAGGGAGGGGCCCACCTGGTCTGCAGCAGCCATTGCCATACAGTCAGATCCAGGTAACCAGGAGTGGCTGAGGCAGAGGAACCTGTGCTCACAGTGCCCAGTGGCACCTGGCACCCCAAAGCACTGGGTAAATTCTAAGTGCTTCTCTTAGATTGTGTCAATACTACAGAAATAGCATGGGGTTTCCACAACCCACAGGTTAGGAGGAAGCATGCCAAGGAGATACAGCACTCCAGACAATGCGCCCGGCTACTTCCAGGAAGGGTTCTCATGCAATGCCATAATTAAACAAAGGGAGGGCAGAGAAGACCAGTTCATTCTGTAAGGCAGAGATTTTAGAAGGGGCCTTGGGGGGGGGTCGGTCAGTTTCAGGGTGACCCCTTGCACTTACGGAACCTCCAGAGCAGGCCAGCAGCCAGCGCAGCTCCCACAAGCACAGCCCCCAAGGCCAAGGTGATGCACAGCACTTTCTTAAACTCTGCAGGGAAGAGGATAGTGGAACAGCTCAGTGTCCTTTTGTTTTTCATTGCTTTTCTTTATTCATGATAGAGCGTGGGCACATGAGATGGAAAGACAGCCATCACGAGAGGGAAGAATGAGAAGCACCCTCCACAGGGTCTGGTCACACTACAATCCTCTTCTTGCAGTCCTTCAGGCCACTGAATCTGGGGACTCTACATGTGCCTGGCATGTTTCAGGCTGACAGGGCCAGGAACCACAGTCACCATGGGGGATCCAGATTCTCTTAAGCATCATGTTACCGCTGAGCCACGGAGCTAGACCACATTCTCTAGAAGTCACTTTCAGATTTTATCCATTGTTCTCATAATATTCCCTGTTAATGATTTACTTTCTTCTTTTTTTAAAAAAAATTATATTCATTCATTCATTTATTTTAATTTGACAAGAGAGAGACACAGAGAGAGAGAGGGAAAGTGAGAAAGCAAGCCACCAGGTCTGGGACTCGAACCATGGTTGGGAGTGTCCAGCACCTTGCCCAGCACGCCACCTGCTGGTCCCCTTAATGATTTCTTATAAACTTCAAAACTGTGACTTTTAATTCTAAGAATCTATGCTGGAAGGTCTAACTTCTGTAGAACTACATTTTATACATTTTGGAGAACAAAAGCAGGAAGCCACAAAAGCAAACAACACTACAGTTAAGCCCTTTAAAAAGCATGGCATACAATACAAAGGATCTGAAAATAGTGAGGTGATTCATGTAAATAATTGCCTAAAAGAGGAAAAGTACTATATTTTGGTAATTACAAGAAGAAGCAAAATAATACAATATCCCCCAAATTATCATTATGCTGTCACTGGTACCCAAGGCAGAAGGATAAATTGTCTTTCCTAAGGCTGTTTGGTGAATAGATGCTATACACAAACTGGCCTGGCCCACTCAGCAGCCACTAGCCACAGGTGGATATCTGCATTTAATTCAAGTCAAATGGAATTAAATAAAGCCAGGTACATTCAAGTGCTCAGTGTTCATAAGTGGCCCGGGCCACTTGGGACAGTTCAGCTATAGAACAAAATTCTCGATGGCTATTAAAAGTGCTATCAGGCGGTGCTAGCATAAATCATACTGGGTCAAGGGCAGAAATTCAGAATAAGAACATATTTTAGCTAAGAATAAAGGAATTTGGAGAAGGTACAACAACTTTCTGTAGTCAAAACAGACACAGTGTTTGATCAGAGTGTAAGTCAAACTTCATTAGGGTTCAGAAGGCAGAAGCCATAGAAGGCACCAAGCAGGAAGCCAGTGTCAGACATCTGCCCAGTGATTCTAGGCTCGGCCCATCACAGGCCAAGGAAGGGCAGTGTCCCCCTTCAGCACCCCAGCAATTCCTAGACAGAGCGCAGCCCAGGCACATGTGCTCCTGGCAGCTTCTCCTGGAAGAGAAGTGGAATGGCAGAGGAGAAAGTGGAAAGTAGGCATTTAAACTAACCCCCACTCTGAGGCTGGAGAGGAGGCACGATGGTCCGTTCTCTCCACTGGACACACTTGCGCTTCTGGAAGTCAACCAGAGCGAGAGATCTAGCTTCTGGAGTCCAGAGCTGACCTGTGAGCTTAGAGCTCAGAGCCCTGGCTCTCATTTCCTTACCACATTCTGCTCATTCTACAGTTCTCCAGCTGCCGCAGGTACACGCTACCTGTGTACTAGTTCCTATCACCAGTGATTCTGATTCAGTGGGGTCAGGCTGAGTCTTTGCACTTCCCACAGGCTCCCAGGTGGGGCCCACACTGCTGGCCCAGAACCATGCCCAACCACACAGCTTGATCATAAAGTGGTTACAGTGGCTATGCCTTGGAGTGGCAGGGTGGAGCTGAGGTATGTGCAGGAGAAATTCCAAATGCCCTCTTTGACCCGTTACCAAGGACCCTCTCTTCCGAAGGTGACTTTCCTGTGTGCCATTCTACTGAAGATAAAATGACTTTCCTGGTGAATGAAGAATTATTAATCAGGTATTCGTCAGTTCACTGAGTGTGTGCCCAGCAAGAAGCCCCCAGGTACCTTTGGAGGACAGCTGTTCTGTTGTTGGTGCAAGGTCAGTGTAAACTTGACCCAGTCGTGGTTTGTGAAAGCCGCGATTATATTTAATTTACCATTCATTTACTCTAATCACTATCAAGTTAGCCTGTTGTTGATTCAGTCCTATAATTATGAGTGTGAACTATTGCATCACAGGATTGTTGACTTGAAGTTCTCCAAAGACTAAACTTAGAGATGTGTAAAGGGCCAGCCCATGGCTTAGTGGTTAAGTGAGCTGGATCCCACACTGACCATTCAGTTCAAGACCTGGACCCAATGGCTTGAGAAACATATCAGCATGTGTATGTGCATGCCCAAAACCCCGAAAGGAGGGAGAAGTGAGAGAGAAGGAATTGTGGCATGATCATTCCCCATGGAGGGGTGCTTTTTCCCTCCTCCTCTTTGTCTCTCTGTGAGCTGATGTGCCCTCTGGCAAATTTTTTTAAAATGTATGCATTGCATTTATATATATACACACACATATAAATTCAAATACAAAACCTTGTGCCTGCTGCTGAAGCAAATAGACCCATTAAGTGCAAAAGAGATTTCCTTCTACTCCTGATGGGACACTTTTGAATTTCTGCTATTTAAATAACTTGGAAAACAGTTTCAAAGCCAAACATTATACTTATAGAATGAATACTCTCTTACACATTACACACCAATAATGTGCTTTAAAAATAATACCAAAGTAAGCTCAATGAAATTACTAATTATTTTTTAGTTTATGGGGAGGTAAAATCTTACATGTAGACTCTTAGTCTTCCCTTAGGAAAGCAATCCATGAGGGACTGACACATTCCTATGCAACTGTCTGTCATTGCCAGGTTTTTCCCTGGGGAAAGTCGAGGTATATTTGACGAGGGGGCAAGAGTTTTGTTTCCTCTGGGTTTGGCCATCCATGGATGGAACACCAACTCCTAGAGGTGCTAACTTTGAGAGAGGACCTTCACTTTCTGGCTATTGTCCTTTCTTCAAGGAGGTAGCTCCCAGAATCAGGGCTTCCTCCACCCTCCTCCCCTGGCTTTCTCCCACCCAACATGATGCACCTGAAGTTCTCAGCCTGGGCACTGCTGACTCAGTGCCAGGATCAGCCTCTGCTGCAGGACCATCTTGTGCACTGAAGGATGTTCAGCAGCATCCCTGAAGATGATGCCAGTAGTACCCCTCCTGCTTACGATAGCCAAACTGTCTGTAGACACTGCCAAGTATCCTCGGAAGGTCAAAATCACCCCCACATGAGAGTCATTCATCTCTTCCTACCCAACCACCACCAGATAGACATCATGAAAAGACAAGTACTTCCTTGAGCAGAGGGATGCTAAGCGGAAGAAAAGAGAAACAGAGAAGTGCATGGAGGAGAGGTAATAAAGAAGGAAGGATTGTGAAAGGATGAAAAGAACAGAGATTGGGCCACCCCTAATGGCCTGGTGGTTATGGGAGCTGGGCCCTACAAGGGTAACCACATGGTTTGAGTCTTGGTCCCAGTGACTCAAAAAACATACCAGGTATATTGTGCCCCGAATCCCAACAGGATAGAGAGATGGAGGGAAAGGGATTGCACCATGATCAAACTCCATTGGAGGGTACATTCTCCCTTTCTCCTTTCCCTCTCTCTCTCTGGCAAGTGCATATATCTTCTAGCAAAACTTTAAAAAAGAGAGAGAGAAGGTAGAGGTTGAAGGTGAGGACTAGGATTGAAGAGTCACTGTGGAGGGTGAGGGAAGCGAGCGGCGAGGCAGAATTCTGAGTGACAGCGCATGTCCAAGTGAGAGCTCTGGGGGTGCAAAGTGGCTTCTTATAGTACCTCTATCCATTGTGTCAAGTACTGATTATGGGATGGGCACATGAAAACCTACCATATCATTATCTTGAACCATACAGTTGTACAGACCAGGATGCATATTGTTTGTAGTAAAATAAAAACACTGTTGTAACCACCAGATGGCATAAAGGTTGAAGTGATTGGATCCAACATGGCCGACTACATAGTTCAAGTCCTGGACCTGGCAGCTTTAGAAACATGCTAGGCACATTTGCATGTGTGCCCAGAATCCCAAAAGGAGAATAAAATCGTGGTATGATGATCCCTCCAGAGGATGCTTTCTCATTTTCCATCTCTTTCTCTCTTTCACTTCCATTCTCTCTCTCTCTCTCTCTCTCTCTCTGTCTTAGTGAGCTCATATGCCCTATAGCAATAATAATAATTAATAATAATAATAAAGTATTTTGGATTAGGAAGTTCATTGGTACAGCCACCACTGTATTAGTTTCACCCTGGCAGTTCTTAGCCCTGAACCTTGTTTAAATGAAAACCTAGAGAGACATGAGGCAAAGTGAAATGGCAAAGAAAGGAACTAAAGGAGAGGGTCAGAAAGACAGCACTGAAGTGACAATAGAAAGATCCAATCTTCTTCACTCCCTGCAGTGCTCTCTAGGGCCTGCTCGGAACATCTACAGGACCACTGGAGGCAAATGTAGTGTGCAGACAGATTTCTGTGCTCACTGTAGCCACACGGCCCGTGTCATTCACTGAGCACCCTGTAAGGTGGAGCATCTCAGTCCACTGCATTAGGGGGCCGTTCAGCAAAGAAAGGCAAGACAGTCTCCACCTGCCTCAGAGCCTTCCATTGTTGCAAGATTTGGCAGTAACCCACACAGGCAGGGAATGACACAGCCCATCCTGAAGGCCACGTCTAGGGATGCAGACAAGCTGTGCAGGAGCTCGCAGAAGATGGAGGTCTCGGGACCACCAGTTAGCGTAATGGCTATGTCACTGGCCTCCCACGTAGTCGACCGCGGTTCGCATCCCAGACCCGGGCACGCCGGGCACGTGTGCGTGCGTGCCCAAGATCCCGAGAGGAGAATGGAGGAGAAGGGATTGCGGCGTGGCCATCCCCCCTGGGGGGTGATTTCTCGCTTTCAGTCTCTCTGTCTCTCTCTGTCTGTCTGGTGAGCACACGCACCCTATGGCAAAAACTTCTCAAAAAAAAAAAATGGAGGTCTCTGTAGACAGTGCCCTGGCCGGACCCTAGGCAGAGATGAAACCTGGTGATGGCTCTGACCCAGAGAGAAGTGGGGAAAGGCGTATAAGATGAACAGTCCCAGCAGATGGAGAGGCAGGATCAGACGAAGAGAGCTGGTGACAGAGCAAGAAAGTGAGCCCAGGAACTCAGGCTCAGTTTAGGAAATAAACACAAAAAGATCCTACTTGGGCCACACAGTGTGGTCGATGGGGGTTTGGGCTGCGTGTGGACGACAGGTGTTAAGTTGTGTGTTACAGTCCTTGGGGCATACTGGGGCACTGCAGATGGGTGGTACTGGGCCGGATGCACTACGTAGACATTAGGAGCCATGCCAGGCTGCTGGGAATAAGGGTTTTCTGGTTGGTATCCGCGGTTTTCATAGTAAGGTCCAACACCCAGTGGTGAGCCCTGCACAATTGAAGAGAAGACGAATAATATGAAACACCTACTCACTCTACAGGGTTAAATACATAATCTCACAAAGCATTCCAACAAGACACTGACATGACAGGATACTACGTATTCTTCTAAGGGGTAATAATTATGGCAACCTTCTACTTACCTTGAATGTAAACCTGAATTTTCAGTTATCAGTGTTTTCATTTGTTTGTTTATTTTTACTATTTATTCTCTGAAATAAAGAAAAAGTAGCCAATACTGGAATTTAGTACTAAAAATAATTTTTTCTTAACATGTAGGAGTTAGAAATTAGAACCTACTTAGCCAATATCCCATACTTCAATTTCTCCAGGACTGTTCTTAAGAATCAAGGTACAGGGACCAGCAGATGCCACAGTGGTTGTGTTGCTGGACTCCCACATGGGCAAACACGGTTTGAGTCCTGAACCCGGTGACTTCAAACTCATGCCAGGCATGTGTGTGTGCATGCCCAAGATCCCAGGAGGAGAACAAAGGAGAAGGGATTGTGGCATGGCCATCCCCCTGGGGGGTAATTTCTTGTTTTCTGTCTTTCCAGCAAGTGCACACGTGCTATAGCAAAAATCTCTCAAAAAAAAAAAAAAAAAAAAAAGAATAAAGAATAAAGATATAGGGACCAGCAAATGGTATAATGGTTAGGTCATTGGACTCCTACAGGGCTGACCGTGGTTTGAATCCTGGGCCTGGTGGCTTGAAATTCTTGCTGAGTGCATGGACATGCTTGCCCAAAATCCTGAGAGGAGGGTGGAAGAGAAGGGATTGTAGTGTGGCTATTCCCCCGGTGGAATATTCCTCCCAGGGTGGGAGGGTGGTGATTTCTCGCTTTCATTCTCTCTGTCTCTCTGGCAAGTGCACATGCCCTATAACAAAAACATCTAAAAAAAAAAAAAAAAGAATCAAGGAAGAAAATTTTGAACTAGCAATACCAGAATTATAATCAGAATAACAGCTAACATTTGAAACCTGCTGCCAGGCCTTTGTAGTGACAATCTCCTGGAAACCTGACCATAGTTTCTAAAACAGATCCAGGAGCAACTAACACCCTTTTTACAGAGAAGAAACTGAGTTAAGAAATTTACATAAAGGAGCATACTCCACATGTCACTCACTCTACCAATTCCTTTTCTACCTGCTCATCTCTCACAGAGCTGTACCATGGTTTACCCACCGCCTCTTATTAATGGACATTTAAGTGGTTTACAACATGGAGCTGATAGCAGTTCGGCTGCTATAATCATCCTTATCCAGCATGTGCACTTATTGCAGAATGCATGAAGATCTGTAGCTACATCCCTCTAAGTGGAATTTCTGGGTCAGCATGGGTTCCTATGTACATGCAGAGCGACTGACTGCTTTGGCCATAGCATCTTGCTCTCAGCTTTGACCTTCAGCTGGCGTTTAATCTTCTTAGAATGTCCCTCTCTCCTGGCCTTCCCAAGGCCTACTCTCTCAAGATCCATCCCCAACAGGCCACTCTACACCCCACCAACCTGCATCTTCCCCTTCCTCAATCACCTGTTGGCTGAGCCATGCTAGGAGGCCACATCTGATTTCTTACAAGGTTCCCATGCAAAACTCCATCCGCTCATTAATTCCTATTCCTTGTCTCTTATTGAACCTAGAGACAACAAAGGGGCTGTCCGTCTGAGCAAAGGCAGCTTAATGTTTAGAATTTTAAATAGGGTCTTCAGGGAAGCATGATTATAAAAGAATGAGCCAAATGCAGGTCCCAGAGTCAGCCTGTGCTTAATAACTTACTAATGCTACTTTTCAAAGGTCCAAAGATTAGAACTCTAAATCATGGTGGTAGACAAGGGAAAGCAAAATGTAATCTCTAATCTAAATGGGGGTACCAGAGGTACTAAAACCAGCACGCAGGTCTGGTCTCTATCTAAACCATCTAGGAACATACTGTCCCTCCCTGAGGGACTATAGCAAGCAGAGCAGTTTGTCTTTGAGAATTCCTGATTCGGTATTAGAAAGGGATCCAGTAAAAAATAAGTATCAGTCACAAGGAAAAAACCAAGGTATGCTTTCCAAATGTAGGATCTGAAATATTTTTATACTAACCATGAACTCTACTAAATGCACTTACTTCAGGTAAATGGAAGATAAATTAGTTGGTATGATGGGGAAATGAAGGCGGCAGCACAGTAGAAGGGCAGCCCTTCCCCCTTGCCCCAAGCCTTCTTCAGATAGGACTTGTTGCAGCTTATCAGGAAGCTGAACACCAATGGCATCCCATGCCAGCTCTCTTCCTGAGGACGTAATCCCTCCAACTTCTCATCCCACCTCATCTGTCCCCATACCTTGTCCAGCTTCCTCTCCACTCTCAAAGCGAGAGAGGAGATCAAGGGGAGAATGCACAGGGCACCACTTCTCCCCAGCAACAGGGCTCCCAAGACCCACTGCTCACTGCCCTGTGTGGTTACACCTGTAGCCTAGGGAGTACCTTGAACAACATCAGCACAGGTTGTTTAAAATGCTGACCAGCACACCCTGTTAGGAATAACAGAAGGAATAAGGTAACAAAGAAAAGGCCAGGAAGGTAATAATTAACCACTTACTGAGTTTAAAGCCATCTTGATTTTGTCAACAGCATCAGGTAATTATAAGTGTATAAAACTTCAAGATGACCTAGAAGAAAGAATGACAAGACTGTGATATTTCCATACCAGTTAGGTTTTGCAAGATAAGTCTAGAAAGAACTGAAGGCTTTCTTTGTTACCTCTAATCAGAACAAACAGCACTTTTGAAGGACTTTTAACTTTCACCTTCACCTG